AACTAAAATGTCCCCACAGAATTGCTGTATCATATGCTGAGGACATTGTGAACTTTCAAGAAATTCATGTTATGATCCTATGTAGCCATGTTTAAGTCTGGGCCCAGGGTTAAAGAAGAAATATGGACCTAATGTTAATGTTCTTAGGAGAATAACAAGGCCTTGGGCGTAGGAGAGCAGGAAGGTCCTCTCCCACCTCTAGTCTTTTATGATTATGTTCTAGAAAGATTCAATAAAAGGGAAGCAACTCTGGCAATGACTTTTTCTGTAACCTTGGGCAAGTCTACCCCAGGTTTTCTTGTGCCTGTAAAATGAAGACCTTGGTACATTGTAGTAGGCTGTGTGAGGGCTAAATAATTGAGAAGAATGAATTATTTTAAATGAGATATTCTCCTTCCCTGGAGAGGGAGAGGGAGTGGGAGAGAGAAGGAGAGGGAGGGAGGGAAGGGGAGAGAGAGAGAGAGAGAGAGAGAGAGAGAGAGAGAGAGAGAGAGAGAGAGAGAGAGAGAGAGAGAGAGGGAGTGGGAGAGAGAAGGAGAGGAAGGGAGGGGAAGGGGAGAGAGAGAGAGAGAGAGAGAGAGAGAGAGAGAGAGAGAGAGAGAGAGAGAGAGAGAGAGAGAGAGAGAGAGAGAGAGAAAGGGAGGGAGAGAGAGGGAGGGAGGGAGAGGGAGAGGGATGAAAGAATGAAAGAGTAAATGGGAACAGGGTGTTTGTCATCATGAATAGATGCATCTGATTATATTAGAATCACTTGGACCATAATTCTTATCTCACTCCCACAACACACCTAGAGCTCACAGGATTCTACAGGAGGCTAGGGCTGACATCCTACTACAAGGATACCTAGTGGGTCATAGGATAGCTGAGATACTCAGAAATAATAATAGCTGATTATTATACATAGTGTATGGTGGATTTTTCAATAGCTTTTATATACATTGTTTCATTGGACCCCCATTATACTTACCTGGACTATTGTAATTGCTTCCTGCATGATCTTCCTGCCTCAGATTTCTCTCCACTTCAATCCATGTTCAACACAGTTACCAAAATGATTTCCCTAAAATGCAGGTTAGACCCTCTCACTGTCCTAGGATCAAATATAAATTCCCCTTTGCTGGAAGGCCTTTACAATTTGCTCCCAAAATATCCTCTGTCCTTCCCACTTGCTACACTCAAATTGGCTTTCTTGCTGTTATTTGCACAGTTAACACTATCTTATGTCTTCATTCCTTTGCACTGGCTGTTGTTTATGCCCAGAATTCATTCCCCCTCACGTCTCCCTCTTCAAATTCAGTTTTCTTTCAAGACTGAGCTCAATCACCATCTTCTACACAAAACCTTTCCTGATATCCCCATATTCTAAATGCTTTGCCCACCCAAATTACCTTGGATTTAGTTTGAATATATTCTTTATGGGGGGGGGTCCCAAAAATGTCAATACTGCTTCAAATCCATAAGTCTTTAAAACTGCATTGAGACTTTTGGGACAACCTGTTTATTTGTGATGTACATGTTATTATTTCTTTCCTTTCCCACTCTTGCCATTTTTTTTTATTGTATTTATTTTTATTTTTATTTATTTATTTTTTTGGCTAGGCAATGGGGTTAAGTGACTTGCCCAGGGTCACACAGCTAGTAAGTGTTATGTGTATGAGGCCAGATTTGAACTCAGGTCCTCCTGAATCCAGGGCTGGTGCTCTAACCACTGCGCCACCTAGCTGCCCCTGTGTTTATTTTTATTGATGCTTTGTCTTTGATTAACACTCATATCCAAAATAAACGTAGCCTTCCCTTCCCATCTGCTACAAACCTTCCCTTATAACACTGATAAAAAGTAGTTTTACAAATCAAAACAACTCTGAGGTACCACATCACACCTATCAGATTGGCCTACATGACAAAACAGGAAAATTATAATTATTGGAGAATATGTAGGAAAATTGGAACTCTAATTGACCATTTCTGAGAGTACATGCAATATTCTACATCCATTGCCCCCATATCCCTCTTCTTTTTAAATCCCTTCACTAACTCCACTGTGGGTTCTAAATGAAATTCAGTCTTCTTTTCCTTCATCTCCCACCCTGTATCAATTAACTGCTATCCATTTATGTTATTATTTCATTATTTTCACATATTTAATTCCCTTTTACTCATCTGAATTTATCAAACTAACTTAATTAGTTAAATGCTTATTTTATCATTTTGGCAATCCAATCTAAGTGAGCTTACTCCTGAACATGTATAATAAGAACAAAACCATCTTCCTAAGTCCCCTGCCATGAGAACTGAACTAGCTTTCCTCAAGTTTCCTTTCACATAGCTTAGGATAGTTTCTCTGTAGAAAGTGTAATAGTGAAGTTGAAACCATTCCATACCATTTTAGATTTGATACCCTAACAAGGTGAGAGCAAATCCCAATCAATCTACATGTACTTGAGGAAGAGTGTGTCATAGACCTTGGTGGGAATGTATATGTGTTTGTTGGGGGAGGGGTCATTGTACCAAATGTTCTTACTGTGCTGGCTCATTAAACATCCCTTTCTAGAAACTACTTATTGCTAGCTAAGTTGATTCTCAAATGATAATCTTGAAGAACCACACCAATGGTGTCTTGAGCTGATGGCATTAGAGAATCATCTGTCACCTTTCAGGTTTACCTTTAGAATCCTGGGAAGAAGGTATAGTCAAGTTCTGGGGATCCAACTCATCGACAGAGGGGGAGTTAGAACATGAAATGTTTACATGGGCTACAGAAGTATTAAAATTATACTTGAGATTTGATTGACTTAGATAACAAAAGTTCTGTCATTGCCTCACCTTCCTAGTTACCTAAGGGTGTAAAAATGATTTGCCCACATGGATTCAGGTTCTTCAGAGTTGGCAGATTCACCAAGGCCACATGAGTCATCACCCCCTTCCATATGGAGAAGAGAGCCATGTCTACCTGGGCTAAATACTAGATATGTATTGATTATGCTTTCTATGTTATGGCTAAGAAAGTCTTTGGTTAACTTCTGAATAACCTAGAAATATCTCCATCTATACCCATATTGGATCTAAATTACCAGGAGACTAGCCTGGTAGATGTTTCTTATAACAAAGCAGAATTGTTATGTCCTATTTCTCCTACTTCTTTTCCCATACATATATACACATTTTGGATCAACTTAATTGATCAATAATATAAATCAACAAATATAAATGATATAATATATGAAACATTTTGAAAACCTTAAAGCTCTATATAATTGTGAGCTATTATTGTTGTCATTATTATCATTGTTATCATCCATTTGTGCAAAATATTATGCTAGATGCTATGAAAGACTTAAAGAAACTTAGAATTAAAGAGAAGGAATGTTTGTATGAAAAGGTAACTAACAAGTCAACATATGTACCTATGTTATATTAGTGGTATAGCTAAAAAGTACTAAAAGAATTCATATAAGGAGTGGTCAGAGAAGTTTTTATGAGGGAAAAGGAGCTTACTTTGAAGAATTATTAGGATTCAGATTAAGGTATCTACTCCAGGTCAGGTAAGATAAGAATACAGCATCAGAATTACAGATGTACTCTTTCTTTATAACTAATTTGTATTAATTTTATTTCAAATCCTTTTAAAATTGAGTGCTTTGAAGCAAAGGATTAAAAAATAATAAGACCATGGATTATTCCCAGTGGAAAGGTCCCTAGACATCTTTCAACCCAACACCTTCATTTTACAGATGAGGACTCTGAGGTCTAAACAGGTGATTTGTCTATGGCAGGGGTGGGAAACCTGCAGCCTGACGTGGCCCTCTAGGTAGCCTCTTGACTGAATCCAAACTTCATACTATAAATCCCCTTAATAAAAGGATTTGTTCTGTAAAACCCGGACTCAGTCAAAAGGCTGCACCCAAGGACCTAGAAGGTCACATGGGGCCTTGAGGCTGTAGGCTCCCCACCCCTGGTCTATGGTCACAGAATGAATTAGTAGTGGAACTGGATCTAGAACTCATATCTCCTAACTCCTACTTTTAGTGATCTGTCAACCACCACTATTTGATTATTCAGAACTTTTCTACTTAGCAGCAAATTAGAATCTAAGGAACCAGCCTCTTTTATTTAACTTTTCTCATGCCTTTTAGCATGTGAGGCCATAAGGCAAAGTGGATTGAGAACCAGCCTCCAAATCAAGAAGACTCAGGCTTGAGTCCTGCCTTTGACACATCCTTGCTGTTATTCTGGGCAAACTTCTTAATCTCTCAGTACTCTAGATAACTCTCTAAGATTATAAATTGCAGAGGAGGTGGCCACCTGTACCTCCACTGACAGGAGTTTTCTCATCTAGCAGTTCCCTTTACCAAAGAAATCATGGGTCCCATCTCTATTCCCATCCATACTTTTTGTATTTTTGATTTCCTACCTTGTGTTTACCACCTATTTCTCTATATGCTTTTTTCTTACCTATCCCTCAAGATCCTACCAGATGTTACCTCCATAAAAACCTCCCTGACCATTCTCATCCATGTGAGTTTCCCTTTCTCTTGATGCATTAATTCATTCAATAAAATGTACAAAGTATAAAGCAGTATATTGAGTTCTTTATTGCATTTGCAATTTTCCCTCTAACATACAACTTAGCATTTTAATATATTCTAAATTGGTCTTTAATTGCTTCATATGTATAAGTCTTGCTTCTCAAACAAGATTATAAGTTCTTTGAGGTCAAGGGCCATTTCTCATACTCCTTTTGTCCAATACTGGGCAGAGCATAAAATAACTGTGGCATAACTCTTTTTCAATTGAGGTACTAAATCTAGAGGGTAGAACATAAATTTTCTCCAGAATTTTTTTTACAGAGTTGAAGGATATAAAAATGTGTAATGATGTAGCTTTTTGAACTTGCCACATTTCTTAAACTTACAGGGACCTCTCCACTGCTTAACTGGGAATGAATTACTTTGGCTGCAGTGTGATTATCCTTTCTTTTTCTTTCTTCTTTTTTTTTTTAGCACAAGTCATTGCATTTATGTTTGAAGCCATTAGGAATAAGGATCCTTTTAATCCATTGACAAAATTCAATTTCTGTCTGCCATAATCCAGATGAAGGAGGAGAAAACACACAAGGAATTTGCCACTTCATGAAGTAATTTCATTCTGCTGCCTAAAATCGTTACTAACCTCTGCAACACTTAATTAATTGAAATGACTCTAGCCGTGGGATTTTGTGGTGAAGAGGTCTCTAATAGTTACATGTGATTCGACCTGGAATTCAGTTAGAGCTAAAAGATACTTGAACAACATTTTCAAGGAATGAAAAATGAAGACCCTGTTGAATTTAATCAATCACTTGCTTTCTTTCTTCTGCTTCTTGCTTTTCCTCTGAGATTTGATGAATTAAATTTTTGCTGGGTGAATATACAAAGTATCCACCTAGACACACATTGGATTATTTGAAAGAAGGTATCAAGTGTTGAGGGTCCTTTAGTATGAGAAGAGTAAATTGGTTTTGTAAGCTGCCGTATGTAACTAGTAGAATCACAGCCCATTTCACCAAAACAGGATGATTCTAACTCATCCTGAATTGTTTCTATCATAATAAATGCTACAGAAGGAAGAAAGGAACATGAAGCCATTGTTTGATATGTTGAATCTATTTTAATCAACTCATTACACATGTTCTGTACACATACTCATACTTAAAGGTACTTTACTGAATCTGAAGAAATCCAGTATGATGTTTAAAAAAAAAGTTTTTTGATTCCCACTGTTACCACCTACCATTGTTTTTACATCCTTACTTGTCCTGTTAAAAGAGATTCCTGATTGATCTGTCAAATTATTATTCCTCAAACGTCATTTTCATCATATTAATCCCCTGCCCAGATATCTTCAGCAATTCCCTACTGGCCACAGGATAAAATTTAAACTTTCGATTCTGGAATTCAAAGACTGCCACTGTAAGATTCAACATACTTTTCCAATAATATCTCCCATATTGATTTATTGATCTATAAAAAGAGAGGACTGAATATTGTTGTATTGAAAAGTGTGTTGGGCTCAGTTAGAGGACTTGGTTTTGAATCCCAGATGTATGACCTTACCATAACTTGAGACTCCCCTTATTAGAGGAATCCTGATTTGGTATAGTCAATGGCAGACCACAATTCAAATCAGTAGATGCTGATCAAGCACCGAGTAGTATGTGCCACGCACTAAGCTAGATATTAGGGAAACAGTAACCCAACAGTAACACATTAGTCCCTCCTCCTTGAGGACTGTGTGTAAGGGCAATCCATGCACATTCCTCTGGAGCGGGTGAGGGGGGTGCAATATGTCAAATCAACAAGCGATTATTAAATGCTCACTGTATGCTCCAGGCACTATGCTAAGCAATGGCAATACAAAGAAAGGGAAATAAACGTGGTCTTTACCCTCAGGAAGCTCACCACCTAATGGGGGAGAGGGGAGACAACATGTAAATAATTTTGTAGATACAAGATATATACAGTATGAATCAATGGTAATCTCAGAGTGTTGGAATTGTGATAGAGGAGAGGGTAATGTGAAAGCCCTCTTGCAGAGGGAGTGGTTTGACCTAACTCTTGGAAGAAGTCAAGGAAGTTAAGAGTTGGAAGTAACGAAGGAAGAAGAACATTACAAGCATATGAGACAGCCAGCATAAATGCACAGAATTGGGAGGAGTGTGGTGAGTGGATTTATTTTTTATTTTATTTTAAAAATATTAGTATTTTATTTTCCCCAGTTACATGTAAAAGCAATTTCTAACATTCATTTTTAAAACTTTGAATTCCTAATTTTCTCCCTTCCTCCCTCTTCACACCACCTCATTGAGAAGGCAAACAATTAAATATTCAAAAATGTACTCATGCAAAATGTTTCTGTACTAGTCGTGTTGTGAAAGAAAACATAGTCCCCTCCCCCCAAAAAAAAACTTCAAGAAAAATAAAGTAAAAATAGCATGCTTCAATCTGTATTCAGACATCATAAGTTCTTTCTCTGGGGATGGACAGCATTTTTCATTATAAGTACTTCAGAGTTGTCTTGGATCATTGTATTGCTGAGAATAGCTCAGTCATTCACAGCTGATCATCTTACAATATTGCTGCTACTTTGTACACAGTACATGTCACTTTGAATCAGCTCATGAAATCCTTTCCAGGTTTTTCTGAGAGCATCCTGCTCATCATTTCTTATAACACAATGGTATTCCATCATAATTACAAACCATAATTTGTTCAGCCATTCCCCAACTGATGGGCATTCCCTCAGTTTCCAGTTCCTAGCTACCAGAAAAGAGCTGCTATAAATATTTTTGTATATGTATGTCTTTTTCCTTTTTGTATTTTTTAAAATTTCTTTTGGGATACAGACCTAGTAATGCTATTGCCAGTTCCAAGTGTTTGCATAGTTTTATAGCCCTTTGGACATAGTTCCAAATTACTCTACAGAATGGTTGAATCAATTCACAACTCTACCAAAAGTGCATCAATATCTCATTTTCCCCACATCCTCTCCAACATTTGTCATTTTCCTTTTCTGTCCTATCTAATAACTATGAGGTAGTACTTCAAAACTGTATGTTAATTATCAACTTCCATAAGCTTTTGAATTTTAAATTTTTCTCCCCCTTCCCTCTCCCCCCAAGATGGTGCACAATCTGATATAGGCTATACATATACATTCCTATTAAACATATTTTCACATTAGTTATGTTGTAAGGAAGTATTAGAACCAATAGGAGCAACCACCAGAAAGAGGAAACTAAATAAAAAAGAAGGGATAAAAAAGAGCAAATAGTATGCTTCAATCTGTATTCAGACTCCATAGTTCTTTCTTTGGATGTGAATAGCATTTTCCATCATGAGACCTTTGAAGATGTCTTAAATCCTTGCATTGCTGAGAAGAGCTAAGCCTATCAAAGTTAGTCATCACACAACATGGCTGTTACTGTGTACAATGTTCTCCTGGTTCTGCTCACTTCATTCAGCATCAGTCCATGCAAGTCTTTCCAGGTTTTTCTGAAATCTGCCTGCTCATCATTTCTTATAGCACAATAGTATTCCATTACATTTATATACCACAACTTGTTCACCCATTCCACAATTGATGGGCATTCCCTCAAGTTCCAATTCTTTGCCACCACAAAAAGAGAGGCTATAAATATTTTTGCACACATGGGTCCTTTTCCTATTTGTAAGATGTCTTTGGGATACAGCCCTAGAAGTGCTATTGCTGGGTCAAAGGGTACACACATTTCTATAGCCCTTTGGACATAGTTCCAAATTGCTCTCCAAAATGGTTGTATCATTTTACAACTCAACCAACAATGCATTAGAGTTCCAATTTTCCTACATCTTCTCCAATAATTATAATTTTCCTGTTTTGTCACGTAGGCCAATCTGATAGGTGTGATGTGGTACCTCAGAGTTGTTTTGATTTGCATTTCTCTAATCAATAGTGATTTAGAGGAGTTTTATATGACTATAGATGGCTTTAATTTCTTCATCTGAGAACAACCTGTTCATATCCTTTGACCATTTATCAATTGGGGAATGACTTGTATTCTTATCAATTTGACTTAATTCACTATATATTTTGGAAATTAGGTCCTTATCAGACACACTGGTTGTAAAAATTCTTTCCCAGTTTTACTTCCCTCCTAATCTTAGTTGCATTGGCTTTTTTGTGCAAAAAAAAAACCTTTTCAATTTAATGTAATCAAAATTATCCACTTCGCATTTTGTTATGTTCTCTATCTCCTGTTTGGTCATTGATTCTTCTGTTCTCCATATAATTTACCATATTCTACCTTTCCCTTTCCCTTTCTCCTGGTACATTCCTCTCTCACACTCCTTAATTTTATTTTTTTTATATATCATCTCTTCACATTCAACTCACATGTGTGCCCTCTGTTTATATATACTCCTTCTGACTGCCCTAACAATGAGAAAGTTCTTACAAGTTACAAGCATCATCCTCCCATATAAGAATGTGAACAGTTTAACTTTTTTAAGTCTCTTATGATTTCCTTTTCCTCTTTACCTTTTTATGCCTCTCTTGAGTCTCGTATTTGAAAGTCAAACATTCTACTGGGCTTTGGTCTTTTCATCAATAATGCTTGAAAGTCATCTATTTCATTGAATGTCTATGTTTTCCCCTGAAGCATTATATTCAATTTTGCTGGGTAGATAATATTTTATTATAATCCTAGCTCTTTTGTCCTCTGAAATATCATATTCCAAGCCCTCTGATCCTTTAATGTAGAAGCTGTTAATGTGTTAGCCTGACTGTGGCTCCATGATATTTGAATTGCTTTTTTTTTTCTGGCTGCTTCCAATATTTTTTCCTTGACCTGGGAGCTCTGGAATTTGAGTATAATATTGCCAGTGGATTCTTTTAATTTCTGTTTTACTCTCTTGTTCTAGAATATCAGTGCAGTTTTCCTTGCTAATTTCTTGGAAAGATGACGTCTAAGCTTTTTTTTTGTGATCATGGTTTTCAGGTAGTCCAATAATTTTTAAATTATCTCTCATGGGTCTATTTTCCAGGGCAGTTCTTTTTCCAATGACATAGCTCACATTTTCTTCTATTTTTTCATTCTTTTGGTTTTGTATTATTGTTTTTTGATTTCTCATAAAGGCGTTAGCTTCCATTCACTCAATTCTAATTTTTAATTAATTAATTTCTTCAGCAAGCTTTTATAATTCTTTTTCCATTTTGCCAAATCTACTTTTTAGGAAGTTTTTTTTTTCTTCAGTGAATTTTTATGCCTCTTTTTTCTGTTTGGTAAATTCTGCTTTTCAAGGCATTCTTTTCCTCATTGGCTTGTTGGACCTCCTTTACCACTTGAACTAGTCTGTTTTTTAAGATGTTATTTTCTTCAGTGTTTTTGGTGTCTCTTTTGCTAAGCTTTTGATTTGTTTTTTATTATTTTTTTGCATTACTCTCATTTCTCTTCCCAATTTTTCTTCCAAATCTCTTCCTTGGTTTTCAAAATCCTTTTTGAGCTCTTCCTTGGCCTGAGACCAATTCATATTTTTCTTGGAGGTTTTGGATGTGGGAGCTTTGGCTTTGTTGTCTTCTTCTGAGTGTGTTTTTTGATTTTCCTTGTCACCATAGTAACTTCCTTTGGTCAGAATTTTTTCTGTTCTCTGTTCATTTTTCCAGACCATTAGCTGACTTTTAATTATTTGTTAAAATAGAACTCTCTTTCCAGGGTGAAGGGTACACTATCCCAAGCTTCAAGGGCTTTGTGCAGCTGTCTTCATAGATAATTCTATGGACCTGTCAGTTTTCAGTTCTTCCAAGGTGACATGATCTAAGAAGAGGTGTGTTTACTACTTTCCTGACATATTCTCTGGTCTATGACCAACTACAAGCACTATTTTCTGCCATGGCACTGTGACAAGTATCTCTGCTCCACTGAGGCCACAAGTTCTGCTATGGTAGTGCTCCTCCTCACCCTGAAACTGCCACCTAGGACTGCATATGAGTATGGACAAAGCAAGAGAGTCTTGCCTAAGTGCTAACAAAGAGACTCTTGTAATTTCCTTCTGACTAGTTCTTTGACCCCCTTACCATCTGTGGGCTGAAAGCTCCAGAAGCAGCTGCTATCGCTACTGATTAAGTGGCTCCCAAGGCCTGCTCCTGGTTTGCTGGGGCTGGATCTGTGCTGGCATGGCCTGCACTGGACTGTGCAACACTCTCACCCAGACTTTTCTTGCCAACCTTCTAAGTTGTCTTTGGCTGGAAAATTATTTCACCCTATTTGTTTGTGGTTTCTGCTGTCTATGAATTGTTCTGTGGCATTATTTAAAGGTGTACAGAAGAGTTTTGGGGAGAGCTCAGGAGAGTTGCTGTCTTTTCTCTGCCGTCTTGGCTCCATCCTTGTAGCTAAATCTTAAAGTATGTGAAATGTAGTAAAGTATATGAAAATCATGAAAGACTTTAAATGCTTAACAGAGTACTTTATAGTTAAGCCTAGAGGTTAACTGAGAACATCCGGAGTTTACCTGGAGGTAATAGGGAGCCATAGTGACATAGGCAAACCTTTGGGAAAATTTGATAGTTATGTGAAAAAAAATATGGAAAGACTTAAGGTAAAGAGCCCAATTACAAGAACTATTGAAATAGTCCATGGGAGAGGTGATGAGGAACTATGCAAGTATGTGTATGGGAGGTGAAATATGTAATGCAAAACTAAAAGTAAGATTTGATCACAGTGGATATGTAGATTGAAAGTGAGTGAAGAATTGATAATACAGTGGTTACAAGTTTGGGTGAATATAAGAATGTCAGTGCCCTTGACAGCAATAGAGAAATTGAGGAGAAGGAAAGTTTATGGGAAAAAATAATGAGTTCTGTTTTGGATTTGTTGAATTAGAGATGCCTAATGAACATCCAGTTTGAGATCTTTGAAAGTTTGTTGGTGATGCTATACCAGAATTTAGGAGAAAGGTTAGGACTGAATACATAGATCATTTAATTATCTGCATATAAATGATCATTGGAACTACAAAACTTAAGAGATCAAGTGAGATAATGTAGACTAGAAGAAAAAGAAAAGAGGGCCCAGGAAGAAGCCTTAGGTAACACTATGGTAAGTAAGTATGCTGAGGAGTAATCAGACATTTAGGAGAACTAAGAGAGGACAGTGTCATAAAAACCAAGACAATGTGAGTATCCAGGAGGAGAAAGTGACTGACAGTGATAAAGCCTGCAGATAGGTCAA